CACGAGCTTGCTTTGGTGCATCAGTCCCGGTGTCGTCTTCTGGAAGCTTTCGATGAAGAGTCAGGTGGATGGCTTAAGGAGTGCGAGGATGCATTGGTGAATGACATTAGTAACCTGGAGTGTGAGCTTCGTCAGCTTCAGACTCTTGAGAGCGAGAGCATCAGAAGGTTGGAGTTGGGTGAGAACCAAGGGCAGAGTTTATTTGAGCTTCGAAGTGTGGCGTTGGTGGATGTATCAGATGGGTCTGCGGTGACAGGCTTGGATCGTGAGCCTCCATGCAGTGGTGAAGGCCCAAAGGACGAGGGTGACGCGCCACCACTTCAAACTCGAATAATTTCTGCAGATCAGGTGCGGAGAGAGCCTGACAAGTGGCGGGGCCCAATTACCGAAGAGTACGAATCTCTTGTGAAAAAGACTGAAGCTGTTGAAGAGCTTACGGAAGCACAATACCAAGCCTTGCTGGAGGATCCTGAGGTAGCGGTGGAATTAATTCCGGGCAAGCTTGTATACGTGCATAAAACGTCAGGGCGGCGAAAAGCAAGGATAGTCGGTTGCGGCAATTATTGTGTGCAAAGCGGTAGCGGCCCACGCAGTGAGCTCTATGCGAGCGGAGCGGGCGCGGAATCCTTGCGGATGACCGTGAGGCGAGCCGCTCTCGATCCCACGTGGAGTTTGGCATCCGTGGATGTAAAAACCGCGTTTCTACAAGCGCCTCTTCTAGACCTGCAACGGGGAGGCAAGCAGCTGATTACCATTGTACGGGTTCCTAGTGTTCTTCGAGAGCTTGGTGTTACTGCATCCCGCTTCTGGAGAGTGCAGAAAGCCCTATACGGGCTTGCGTCAGCGCCAAAGTCTTGGAACCATCATAGAGACAAGGTCTTGTCCGAGCTTCGGATTCCGTATGAGGGTGATGTGTTAGTCTTGGCCAAAATGCAAGAGGATGCAAATCTCCTGCATGTCTTGAAGCTTTCATCTGCCAGCAGTTCGGAATCAGGGGCAGGTGTGACCTTTGAGGGAGCTCAGAAGGTGGGTGTAGTAGCGTTGTATGTTGATGACATCTTAGTTGCTGCTCCAAGGGCTGTAGCGGAGGCTGTTGTTACAGGACTGCAAGGACAATGGGAGTTATCACAGCCCGAGTGGCTGTCTGCTGTTGGGGACAGTTTTAAGTTCGCCGGGTTTGAACTGCAACGCACTGCTGAGGGCATTAGGCTGCACCAAGAAAGCTATGCTAGGGATTTGATGAGTCAGTATAGCGAGGCGATCCCTGGAACTGAGTCTGTCCCCGCGGTGAAGGCTTACGAAGTTCCAGAGCCAACTGGTGATACAGATTTGCTGTCTACAACGCGGAAGGCTCAAGCTGTTATCGGACAAGTCTTGTGGTTATCGAACCGCACGCGCCCTGATCTAGCGTATGCAGTAAACATGGCCGCCCAGAAAATTGTGGCGAATCCGTTGGAAGCCTTGGCCAGAGCAGAACATATCATCCGCTATATTCGTCATTCACCAGGTGTCGGGTTGCACTACAAGCCTGCCAGGTTGGGATGCGGTAGGTGGGACCAACTCAAGTACGAGGAACATCCCGCTAGCATTGATGCGTTTTCAGATGCGTCATTCGCTGCAGATGAGCAATGCCGAAGCTTTGGGAGCATTCAGTTGTTCTGGGCAGGGGCCATGATTGCTTGGTCGGCAAACAGGCAGACGCTCATAGCTTCCCACACTGCAGAGTGTGAGCTTTACTCGTTGGCAGAGGCTCATCTTCTGGGCAAGGCGCTTAGACCTACGATTGCATCACTGATGGATGTTTCTGAGCGAGAAATCGAGAGTCGGCTGTATTGTGACAACGCGGCCGCGATTCAGCTTTGTGTGCTGGAATCGGGATCGTGGCGTACACGCCATCTAAGATTGCGTGGGGCAGTGGTTCGCCAGGACTTGGAAGAGGGCCTGTGGAGTTTAACGCATGTGGATGGGGTTTTTATGCCAGCGGACCTGGGCACTAAAGCGGTTGGCCCAGCTAGGTTAGAAGATCTTATCAGAGTGTGCGATCTGTCTGCTCCTCATCTTGCCGTGTCTAGTGAGCCTCCACGTCCTCAAGTAGCTTCATTGAAGAGCGGACAGACCAATGTTGCGAAGGCACTCCTTGCGTTGATCTTCTTGATTCAGTTCTCGAGTGCAGAAGCTGCAAGGAAGGACTTTCCCATAGAACCTTCAGCCCTGCTGCTTTCGAGCTTTGTCGCAGGATTTGGTTTAGGGTGTGGTTGGTGGCTTGCTGCTAAACTTGGGTGTTGGATTGAGCAGTGTTTTCGTAGGAATCCTGTGCCTGTCGAATCCAAGAAAACGGTTGTGAAAGTCAGCTGTGCAGAGGATGGAGTTCAGACTGAGGACTCGAGCTTCAGGGATGGTTTAGAACCGGGGGAGCATGGCGATCCCTTTCCAGTGCAATCTGAAGGAAATGCTCCAGCACTCGATGACTCCAGGGCACTGCAAATGGTGTATGACATGATCTATCAGGAACAGCTTCGAATCCATGAGTTGTCCGACCGGGCTGTGCAGCTGAGGACAATTGGTGGATCTAGTTCTCATGAGTCTGCGGGTTTAGGGGTTTCACAGGAGAGGTTAGCGCATATGGGAGCCGCTGGTGTAGGACTGAGTATGCGTGGTGGTGATGTCCCTGAAGACTTTCTTCAGCGTGTAGCGGTGCCAACTGTGCCTAGACCTCCTGGTTACCCTGTAGAGATGATGTATCTGCAAGGACCTGAAGTGTTAGATGGTGATCCGCAGGTGTATGTAGATGATCCTGTGCCTCTGGGAAGGGCACCAGACCAAGATGACAATGATAGTGTCGTGAGTTCTGAAACGGAGGAAGAGCACTCTTCTGTCGGGGAGTGGAGCACGGACTCAGGCATGCCTCGGGGTCACGGTTCAGGGTCTGGTAGTTCTATAACGGGGAGTCGTAGCATAGCTGCAGTGAGCATTGCTGCTTCTGTAGGCTCTGCACAAGCCCATCGAAGCATGCAAGGTGATAGTGATGGCTCATGGGAGCTGTTTCTGCTGCTTGGCCTGGTAGCCGCGCTGTTTTGCATGATCGGGGTTGCCAGCACATGGATGTGTATGAGACAGAGGGAGTTTGAACCTAAGGAGATTAGTGACTCGGCTTCCTTGGACACTGCGACTCCTAGACAGGGTGGTAGCAGAAGTGAGGAAGGGAGAAAGGTTGAGGGTGAAAGTCAGAGGGACGGTCATCTTCAGTTGTCTCCGGTGGTTCATGTGACTGTTAGGAATGAAATTCTGGGTTCAGGTAGGAGCGTGCATGGTGCTGTAACTGCTGACAAAGGGGTTTCAGGGTTGCCGTGTGAGGGTGTTAGACGAAGAAACCTCAAGGAGTCTTTCCGGGAGGAGGCAAACCCTGTAGGCCCCCCTAAAGGTTTAGACCAGAATAGGACCCTAGAGAGGAAAGAGGATGCCTCGCGGATGTCGGCAGCAAGCAGTGACCCTGTAGGCCTCCCTAGGGGTGTAGACTCTGGTAGGACCTTAAGGAAGGAGGACGCCTCACAGGTGTCGGTAGCAAGCAGTGACCCTGTAGGGCCCCCTAAAGGTTTAGGCCAAGGTAGGACCCTGAAAGAGGAAACCAAAGCTGCAGAGGCAGCTCAAGCCGCCACTGACCCAGTAGGCCCCCCTAGCGGTTTAGGTCCTTTGGGTGTCCCTAGTGCCGACTCTGCCAGAGACCTTAACCCCTTAGGACCCTGTGGTTTAGACCTGGGTACCTTAAGTGATCAAAGAGCTTCTGGTTCGGAGATGAGGGAACGCGATACAGGACCTGACGGGGTCCCTACAGTGCCAGTTGATTACATCAGAAGGCCATGGGGAGTCAAGCAAAAGATCATTCTGAGCTGCCCTCAGACGCATCCAAAACCTCTTGTGTATTTGACTCAGAATGGAGGCTGCCTGCACAGCACATGTGGTTGCAGGCCGATGCAGAATGCAAGTGCGGCAATTCAGCGAAGTTTATGTCGTTTTTGCTTCAGGGAGGATGGGTTGCCAGCTAGACGTCGGGGCCAAGATCGGTCAGATCGAGTTGTGTATTTTACAAAATCTGGCCAGTACGTGCATGATCAAAGAACCTGTGAAGCTCTGGCGAAACATGAAGAGATTGATTATCGAAAGCTGTGCAGCTGTTGTCGCTGGGGCTAAACGAGACACTATTGACCCACACTAGACAGCACAGGGGAAATGGACTCTCCATTTGGGGGAGTGACTGTGCATCAGTGCAGGTCGGAAGCCATGCTTGTGTGCCGGAGCCATGCAGGCTGAGGTTGTGGGTCTTAAGGGGTGGTGCTGGGCTGTACATGTCCAAGGTTCCCCTAACGGCCCAGACTTTCACTTAGAGAGACTTTGTGTGTCTAACGCAAGGAAGTTATGCACACGTTCTCAGTTGTTTCAAGATATGTAGTTCACTCAATCTGAGAAAGACTTTGTACAGCTCAGGTGACTACAGATTCGTCGTTGTTTGCTGGGTTGAGAAAAG